AATAAATATATGAATAAATACAATATTTAGATATATAACTTATATTTAAAATAGATATTTTTAAACATATAAATTTTATTTTGGGTTAATTATGTACATTTCACATGTTAAATATTTATTATATATAATAACTAAAATTTATAATAAAATATATAGAGAGAAATATTATATTTGAATATATAAATTATATTTAAAATAGTTTCAATTTGGAGAGGGATAAAATGACATTGATGTAATTTTTTTATCAACTATTATATCATTCATTAACTTTATATTAAAAAATTATTTTTTAAACCTTATTGTTAGATTGAAAGTTTCTTACTCCAAAATTATATATACAAAATTTTATATTAATCTAAGATGATTTGATGCCCCATTCATATATATATCAAAACTGATGTAATATAATTTTAAAATATGCAAAATTATGAACAATTTGATTATCTTCAAATTTTTGTTCACTTTTAACAAAAATTGTCATGAAAATACATGTCGATATAAAATTATAATTCAATGGTTAAATCGAGAAAATTTACATTTAATATAAAATTATTGAACAGTGTAATAGTTATACGAGCTTCATTTGATCTGTCCCCTTTAAATTTTGTATAAATATTTTTTTAACATTTAAGTTATATTTAAATTTAAGGCAAATAATTTATATTGTGGCATAAGATTATTTTTTAATTTTTGATAATTTACTTAAAAATATTAAAATTTAATGTATAAATAAATATAACAAAGAAAAAAATTAATTATGTAAGAAGTTAAGAGAATTCCTAAAAACATTGAAGAATAATTTCTAAAAAAGCTCGCATCCAAGATAGTCATTCATGTTTAATATATAAGTGTTAATTTATTTTAAAAATATTAAAATTTAATTTCTAAATAATTATGATAAATAAAAATTAAATTAGATAAGAAGTTAAAAAAAAAAATTGTCTCCATCAAGATAATGTTGGTATTTAATATATAGGAACTTGATTAAAGACAACAAATTTATCATCTTTTTTTATCAAATTTTCATTGAAGTAACTTACTTTTTCAATAAATATATTATTTTTAATTATGATTGTTAAATAATATTATTTTTAATTATGACTGTTAAATAATTTATGAATGACTAAATGAAGAAAAAAATTACTTAACAATACATTTAAAAGTGAGAATATTATTATGAATAGGGATAACAATGGAGTTTTATGGGAACATATAGGAAAGTATTTGTACTTACCTTAATAATTTAAAATTCGCTCGTACTCATCCTATATGTGGATATTCATTGGCTAAATATCCATAAATTTTATAAATATCTGTGAGTATCTAAAGATATTTTTTATTTTTTAAAAAAATTTCATGAATAATTTTTTAAAATTTATATTTGATGTTAAGCATATTAAAATATTAAAAATATATAATTGATTTTTGAACTTGTAATTAATAATTTTTTTGAAATATCAAAAATAATATAAAAATATTTAAATAATATTATTTAGCGATACTTATAGGTATAAATACTGTCATACTCGTCCCATCCTTTTTATAAGCAAGTAAAAGGATATTTATATCCATTACTCGTAAGTATCCATTTATTATTTGTAACAAATTTTATTCATAAATACTTGTGGATACGAATAATTTTATCATCCCAAAATTGTAAGTATTTTAATTTTTTAATTTGTCTTAACACCACTATGCAACAAAATCGGTCAAATGTGTTATCCTTTGTTATAAAAAGAAAATATTGATCAAAGGTGAATAAAGAACAAATCAGAAAAAATCCAATTAAACCCTTTTCATTTTTCTTCATTTCAACATACGTAGATGTTGAAAGTGAGAATCTGAAGAAGAAATAATGACAAAAGTCAAAAGTCAGCGATGCATACGTATGTTAGTACGCCATATTGATTGGATGGAAGAGACAATGAAATCAATACTGGTCAAATAGGCGATCTCCATGGGGTTCCATATAAATAATCTCACTTGCCATATTAGTCTCATTTTTTTTTTTTAAAAACCGATATTTATATAAACAATTTTTGTAAATTTTAAGTAATTTACACACTAATTTTTACACTGATATGACAAGTAAGTTACTTATAAACAATCCTACTAGAAATAGCATGAGTTTTCTCCTTGCCAAATTCAATCTTTATTTCTGGGATCTTGTTGCCAAGTTCAATTACAAACTTTGTTGTAAAAGTTTAATTAACAAATTTAATAATAAAAAGGAAATAATATTCAACTACTTTGACTTTAATTAAAAAAAGAACTTTTCTTGTTTATTTCACTGTCTTTAAATTAAAATGTTTAAAACAAAAATTTAAAATATAACATAATATTTTAATCATTTATAAATAAACATTTTCTCAAGCCCTCAATTCTTTTATCATGAAAATTAACATTAAAGAGAATATAATATTATTGATACAACATTTTCTAATAATATTTTTTTCTATATACCTTTCTCTAGTATATCGTATTTCTTTTTATATGAAACTTTGTACAAATATAATATTGTTAAAGTAACATTTCTCTTTTTAGAAAGATGACAAGATATATCTTGTTGGAATTATACAAACATTAGTTTTATACTACATATTAATTTTCGTATGTGCAAATTAATTGATGACTTTTCTTTTCTTCTAGAAATCAAGATTCCTAAATGAGTTGAATATCGAAGAGCTTGTGTTGAATAAACTATTCTCTAATAGGTTACTTCAAATGGAGTAAATTTTTCATTAATTAAAAAGGCAGGGCCAAATATACTACGTAATACTACATACTAGTTAATTGATAAATGGAAAGGGATTTTAATTAGAAAGATTAGAAAGCGATGTACTAACTTTAGTAACACGTGTGTGTGATATTGATAATCTAATGAATTAACTAAATGAACTAGATGAATGAATATGTAACTTACATTTCAATGGTCTGAATCTGAACATTCAGCTTTCATCCTAATTATTTATGATAAATTAATGTTTTAAAAATTGGAGCGTAATTAAATAGGTGAAATACTTGTTTATAATTTATTGATTTAAATGTGGTCATTAGTAATACGTAAATTTATATTTCTAATGTTATATAATATTTAAGTAATAAAATAATATAAAATATCATAATATAAGAAATTAACATGTAAATCTTTTAATATAAATGACTTCATCGTATATTTGATTTATCTTAAAATATTTATTAAACCTAAAATTAAAAAATTTAAAGCAAAATACCATTTCAAATTATTTTTACACCAATTTTGAATTGATTTGACAAATTCACGAATAAGGTTCTAGAGTTAATGTAATTGTAATGAGTCGAACCGTTCAATCAGGATTGGTCTTGAATTTATTAGTGCTTTGAACGAACTAACAAAATGATGCACTCATAATTATTTGATGTTATCTACGACTTTAATTTTCAAACTTAAATGTATAAATGACAAATAACTAATGTACACTTGTTAAAAAAATGACTAAATATATTGTACATCCGAATGAGAGTATGAGTTATCCTTAGAGATCGTTGCACAATAAGAAACAAGGATCATTAATGATAACGTTTTATGAAGAAGCTTGACAATAGTTAACAAATGAAAGTTTTCGAAGTTTGATTTCAAAATTTCAATGGAGTAGGAGAATAGAATAGAAATAGAATAAGAAAAAATAGAGATAAAGGAAAAGAAATAAAGTTAAAAAAAATAACATGTATTTATAATTTTACATTAATAAATAAGGGGTTCGTGCAAAAAAAGAAATAGAAAAAGATAAGCCAATAATATTTCACACTTAATTTTCTCTTTGCATTTAACATCATTAATTTATTTTCCTAAAATTATAGATGATTTTTTTTTACAATAAATTTTCATATAATTTAATTGTATAAAATTTTTTTAGTGCTCCTCTAAAGAATAAAGATAAGATTTGGACGATCACCCCTCCACTCCGTACACTACAGTGGGTTCCAATTTTTAAAATAATGGGATAAACATGATCAACTAATAAAAAAAGTACATAGGAGGGAAAAAAAAGTTAATTAAACTAATTTTAAACTAAAATAGTAAATTATAAATTAATAGAGTCTAAAAGATTATTAATTCTTCATTTAATCAGTTTTATTTTATGGTACCATCCTTGAATAAAATTAAATTAAGTAAAATTCAAAATTTACAAAGAAAAGTCAAAAAGATTTTTATATGGATTAGTAAGAAGCAACATATTCATACATATATCATGTCAACAAGTCTGCCACTAAAAGTTAAATGAACATCATCAACCAATCTCTAATACATACAAACGTACGCATTCTTAATTATGACATATATATATATATATATATATATTTCATATTCTAATCTAACTACGACCAACTCAACCTTAACCACATTTTTATCTACATGCTAGGCGAATCAACAGCAAATTTCACTACAGATCCAAGCTCATCCCAATTATCAAACGTGAAGAAGTCGTTCCCAACAGGATTAATCCAAAAGTTTGAAGATGGTGCAGTTAGTAGTTGAGGTTGCTGTGGCACTGGAGAATAAAACTGACTCACATGAAACTGATTATTATTCCTTTGATCACTGTTGGTGTAACTAATGATTGGTTTCTTCTCATTGTGATAGTGGTCACCAAAGTTGATATATGCTTCTTCTTGGTTAGTGAGAAACTCCACATTGTTCATCCTCGAGCTCTTGTCATGAATGGAATGGCGCTTAGCAGATGAGTGTTTCAACTCTGGCATGTGCTTCCTCTGTGACACATTTCTCTTGAAAATTCTACACAGTGTCCAAATTTCCTGTATATTATAAGAAAACAACTCATTAGTTTCTCCTAAAGAGAGAAATAACGTATGTGAAAAGTTCATACCAAGGTTAAGTCATCACATGAAATAATGTACTGAAATACTAAAAATTGTTATGAAATCAGTTCCTATACTGTCACCTATTAAATTGTTTCCTGTATATATATACTCGAAATCATTGCCTTCAAAGAAAAAGAGACATAAAATCAAACTTTAAGCTTTTCAAACCAAAAATACAGTTTGAGAAAAGTTATAGGAACTAAATTAAAAGTGGTTTTAACTCTAAAATTTATTTACTTATACTGCTACTGATATATTTTGAAGTTTTGTGAAATTACACACAATTTTATATTCTTTTTAATATATATGGCAATCCTCCTTGTAATGTTTTAAGGGGGCGTGTCAATGTAATATTCTTAGAAAAGTTAAAGAGATAAGTATGAAAATTGTGTGCAATCTTATGAAACATCCTAGATTATCAGTGTAATTTACTCTATGATTTTTTTATGCTAAGGTTAAGTGAGAAATAATGTATTGAAAATTGAAAGAAAAGTTTACTCTTAATCATATAAATTACTTACAGCTTCTTGGGGGATATCTACATAAGTCTTGGAGTTGGGAAGGTTTGTGTTGGTGTCTGTGTTAGAAGGAAGGCGAAACTCGTGCATCATCCAATCAGTTTTGGTGCCTTTGCCTGCACTGCCACGGTAGTACACAAGTGTTTTCTTGAGTCCAATGCAGTCATTGCCTTCTCCTCCATGTGAGTACACAGGCTTGTCTATGCCAGTGGCTTTCCAGAACCCAGAGCCAGTGACTCTGTTAGGCCTTATGCTATTCCTATACTTCCTCCCTCTTCTGCAAAAGAAGTACCCCTCTTTCTCTCCTCCAGTGGCACTTGTTTCTGCATGCACACAAATGTTGTAATTAGCATAGCTAATCAATGTTTAGTTGACAGTAATGAGAATGAAAAAATAAGGGGAGAGGAAGGAAGACAAGAAACAAAGTTGCACTAAGCTGAGAGGGAGGATAATTCACTAGAATCAATATTTGAGGTATTATTGTGATTCACAAAATAATGTGCAACTATAAGTCCTATTGATTGTGTATATATCAAGCATTCAGCTAGTTAAGTCTCAAATTTGAAAGTGTTTGTATATGATTTTTCTTACATAAAGAATGCTAAATGGTAATGATATAATAAATTTGGCTTATATAATTGGTTCTAGTTGTAGTTTGCTCAAGAGGGAGAGTTCAGAAGAAACTCTTCTGATGTGTATAGGTTTGAAAGGAAATTAAGACACTGTTATAAGCTTAACAAGTGACAGCTCGTGACCTTGATAAGATTGCTATGAAGAGAAGTTATTAAATATATATTAATTACCATGACTCATGCAAGTAAGATATCAATTAGCCCCAAATTAATCAAAGTTGATCCTATTCCCTCTCAATCGTGAGGCCTAAAAGTATTTATGTTTATATGTCTACTCATACGCATCTTAATTAATCAAACTTATGCATGCATGTAACTGTGATCACCATAAATACTTAGAGTATGTTTGGATCTGAACCCATAAACTTCATCCATCAAAAAAATTCACGTCCAATACACAGAAGCTACTTCTATTAACTTCTGTATATATGACGTGGATCGAACTCGATGTGATAGAGAATCAAATATGCACTTATTAGTAGCTTTGTAGATCATGATGATGATCAAGCTAGCTAGAGGCATGTAAAGTAATTATATGGTTATCATTTTTTCTTGGAGTGTGTTAGATCAAAACCACCTACCCTTATTTCTTTGATACTAACTTCATCTTGTAAGAAAACCTACTAGAATTTTGAAGTTCAAGAGAAGAATATCTAGAAATTACAAAGCTATAATTTAGAGTGCAAACATACTTGGAAGATCCCAAGGATCGTATTTGTAAATATCAATCTGTTTGATGAGCTCAATACTGATGGGTTTCTTGTCAAGCTTCCTTCGAAGATAGAAACTAACAAGTTCTTCATCTGTGGGGTGGAATCGGAACCCCGGAAGTGGAACATCATCATCATCCACATATTCATGATCATCCTTGTTGAAATCTTGGTTCACACCCATCTTATCTTCTCTCTCACTCTTTATCTCTTATGTGTGTGTGTGAGTGTTTGCTAATTGTTTTCCACTGAATATAAAGGAGAAGAAAAAAAGTCTTGAAACAATTTCAATGAAGTGGAGAACCTTCTTTCCATTATTATAGTGTGAAGAGAGTCCAATGATGTAGCGATGAGTATTTCATGCAAGTCAAGTCATGAGCTTTGACTTGTGCCCTCTAAGGACCAGTTCTATTGTTTAATTTAAAGTCACCATTTAGGACTTAATTTGTATTTAATAGTAAATTATTTAATGCATAGAATGGATCTCTTCCCTTCAAATACTTTTCTTCTATCTCTTAGAAGCTGCCAATAATTGCTCCTATTTCATGGTTGAATCATAAATGACACAGACCTCGACCCTGTGTCATTTTGTATCATAAGGTGACCATTCCACGTTCAACACCAAAAAAAGGAGTGAAAACAAAAAAATACATGTTAATTTCCTTTTATAGTCCATCGTTTCAGGACTCGTGCAGATGCAGTGTTTTTGCTGTTTTAGAATATGATTTTTTAAAAATCAAAAATATATTAACAAAAAAAAAGTGTGTCCATTAAATTCATCGATAAAATTTGTATTATTCTTCTTCTTATTATATATATATATATATATAATTTTCTCTTAGAATTAAATTTAATCAATCTTTGAATTATATTTTCTTATTAATTAAATCAAATATACAATATATTTTATATAATTTTAAAATTATTTGGTATTCATTACATCACTTTATGTATAATATTTAAAAAATATATATAAATATTCACTGTTAAATACTTTCTCCCATCCTTTATAAAAAAAATGGATATTGTCTTTATTTTAGTTAGTAAAATCAAGATAATTTGTGCATTTATATTTTATTTAATAAAAATATTTAAAAATTATCAATGTTTGATAGATTAATTGGTATTGTATTTGATCTTCAAACCTAAAAATTTTGGATTTGAATTTTATCCATGTAAAAATAATTAATTTCTAATATTAATTTTTATTATTTAAAAATTTAAGGATAAAATTGTCTAAAAAATATGTATACCAAATAAGACAATCCCTTTTATTATATGTTATAGATGATAAGAGAGATTATAGACTTTTTGTTAGATGTATTAATTATTATTTTTTTATATGTTTTTTATTTATTATAAAATATATTAGTATAACACCATTTATCCCTCATACAATTAAAAGTATTTATTGATCTATTAATTATGTAAGTTATGATTGATATATGGTGGAAAAGTTATCTATTGGGTTAGTAGAGTTATTAAATATAACTATTATTTAAACTATTCAATTAAAGGTGTTTTTGAAATAATAAAACTCAAATTTATGAAATTATTAATAAAAATTAACTACCTTAAATTTTTTACATTAATTTCAACAAATTAGTTTTTTTTTTTCACATAAATAACATGAGGAAAAAATATATTTATAAAATTTCAAAAATTATACGAAATTTGACTGGTCGATAGATTACAATATATTATGAAATTCTTATTGTTTTTATGTTTTTGTTGCCCAAGATTGATCTGATTTCATTTTCATCGACTATATTCTTTCATCAAGAGAACCTTCCTTCCAAACTTGAACTTGCAATCCCATTTTGCACACGCAGCTTTTTTTTTTTTTTTTTTCACACGCAGTTGAAGTATTCTTTTTGTATAAGCTCCTATAAGAATAATCTCAAAAAATGTCAAGGGAAATACTAATAAAAGTGTAATTATCCATGTATTCATAACTTATAATTTAGGTACTATAGTTTGAATTTTTTAGAGTTTAAAAGTCACTTTTTAAAGTTAAGAATATTAAATTTAAATTTACAGTTTGATAATTTTGTAATTTTGCTTGTTTAAAATTCTTATTTATTTTTTTTTTAGTATAATGTGTTCTTGGATCTTGATATTTAAAATAAGGAAAATAAAAACTGAGAGATAAAAGCTCTTTGAAAATAACCTTTTAAAACTTTTTTTTTCCAATATTTTTCTTTGTTCAAAACATACTTTTCTTAAAGCTCATTTCTTAAAATTGAATCAGTACGTCCTAATTAAGTTCCCCCAATTTTATGCTTAATTATATTATATATTTGAATTAGAAGTGAATAGAAAGATTAATAAAATAATATGATGAAGAAAAAAAAATAAGATGGTAGAAGTAAAAGAGAAAGAATATAAAAAATTTTTTTGTTTTAAATAGATAAATTTTTTACTTATATATAAAGAAAATTTTCTGTTTTAGTGTACACGTTATTGTTAACAATTTCAACCTTTAAAAAAATTTACAATAATAATAATAAATGTCAAAAAAGTCTTTAATATATTTAAAAAAAACAATTAATAACCATCCACTATTCTCACTAAAATGTGTTAAAAGAAAAGCGAGTGTCTTTTACCTACTTGTAAAAAGTTAAGAGAAGTAAAGAATTTTGTCTCCATTTTTTCATGAGTGAAAGATAATTAAATAAAATATATAAAAATAAACTTTTTATACTAATTAAGAACAAATTCAACTAAAAAATTAAACTTTTTACGATATATTTTTTAACAAAAATATGTTTATTATTTTTAATGTTAAAAAACTATTTATTTAAAAAATATATAAAAATAAATAAATGCAATTAATACACAATTTTTTCCTCTATTTCATGGCATTTTTGTGTAACATACGTGGGACTCATAAAAAAAATCCTTTCTTTTCATTCTTTCAAAAATAATAAAAATATAATATTTTTATTTTTTATTCCTCTTCCTCATTTATTTCTCTCTCTCTCTGTCTCTCTCTGTATACATATAACTATACTTATTGTCTCACTACTAGAAAAATTAAAATTAGAGAGGGAACA